CCGAGAAACCGCCGTAAATTTATAATCAAATGTCACATCCCGTTTCGGTCATCTTCCTATTCCCTCCGTCCGTCCCGGCGAGACGAGCCCGGGTGACCGACCGCGCCGGCCCGGCCCGGCCCGAGTGCCGACTGATTTATATACCGGCTGATTTAGATGACCGCCAGTCTCACGGCGTGGTGCACAGTGCACCTCGTACCGGGCCGGCGCAGGGCGAATGTGCCGCCTCCTACCCCACGACCAGGGATATCTCCCTCAATCTGACTATGGGGAGATGACGACGTGCCTTATTGTCTAAAGGTCCCGGTATCCAAATGCGAACCATATCCAATGGTCTCCGTTACATTTAAATATGAACCCTAGCTATGACCTATGACATTACGACAGCGTCAGTAGCGGTAAAACTTATCACTGCGCCAGGCGGCTGGCTACAGCAATACAGAGACTGACAACGAGCCGTTTAATCATCAACTATCAACATGTACTGACAGATGCGGAGAAAATCAACAGGCAGTGATGGACGGCAGAGTGAGGGATGCGAATAAAAACGACGTAAAACAAATTGAAAAGCCTTCCAAAAGTAACAAAGAAAAAAGGAAGCAATGGCAAAGGAAAAGAAAAGCGGGATACGGGGCGAGGTGAATAAGAGGCAGGATGATGGGAAGCGGAAAAGGAGGAAACCGGCGATTAAGACGAAGATGAGTACCACTTTTCTGCGCACTCCTCTGCATCCAACCGTGCCAGGTAGTAGCTAACTACTTAGTGTACCCGGGAAGCAGAACCTCGCAGCATGTCTTGGGTTGTTCTCGCGTGATTTGAAGTGCAATTTTTGCGCCAATATGTCATAATCAGCATATACTGTCAGCTATCAATGATGAAATTTCTGCTTTTGTTTTTGTTTTCTTTTTACAGCAAGTGCTTTCTTTTGCCAGTGCATTGTTATTCAGTTGGCACTGAAGACCAATAACCATCAAATACGTTCCCAAGTGCACCTGTCACACTGTCAGAGCACCCACAACAAGAAGGCCCGCATGGTCAGTAGCCCCAAACTACAGCGACATGGGGACTGGCCACATCAGAGGCACATGGAGCACGCCTGCTGCTCAGTCCCACTCACCAGTCCAATCGGTCCGACCCGCCGGTCCCAAACCGTCCAATCGGTCCGACCCGCCGGCCCCAAACCGTCCAATCGGTCCGACCCGCCGGCCCCAAACCGTCCAATCGGTCCGACCCGCCGGCCCCAAACCGTCCAATCGGTCCGACCCGCCGGCCCCAAACCGTCCAATCGGTCCGACCCGCCGGTCCCAAACCGTCCAATCAGTGCCGGTCCCAAACCGTCCAATCAGTGCCGGTCTCAAACCGTCCAATCAGTGCCGGTCCCAAACCGTCCAATCAGTGCCGGTCCCAAACCGTCCAATCGGTCCGACCCGCCGGTCCCAAATCGTCCAATCAAAGCAGGTCCCAAACCGTCCAATCGGTCCGACCCGCCGGTCCTAAACCGTCCAATCGGTTAGTAGTAGCCTCAAATTAATTGCATTTGAACTGATGCTCAATTTCAAATGTATATGCATCCTCAGATTTACTGAGATACTATATGGAACCTCAGAGTCAGGTCACCTTAAATTCAACATAGATCCATCTGAAACCATCCACACTAACTGATAGGTATTCACCTGAGCTGAAATTCATTAGTCTTAGGACAGCTGAACAAGCGTTTGAAGCGTTTGACTGCTAGAGAACTGAAGATGGTCATAAAAAATAAAAGAAAGCCGATGTATACCTACTTCAAAATATACTATGCCCGTCAATAGTCTAGCACCCAGGGCTGCGGAGTCGGGGTCGGAGTCAGATTCGGAGTCGGAGCTGGAGTCGGTTGGAGTCGACAATTCTGCCCGGAGTCGCAGTCAGAGTCGCCAAAATCTTACCAACTCCGACTCCTAAGTCGGAGTTAACGCTGCATGGTTCAACCGCATGCTCTGCACCAGTTTGCTTGACGATACACTACGCAGATTTTGTCACAAGAAGGCCATGGTACTGTATTGCACTAGCGTTTCCAGCGAAAGAGGCAGAAAACGGCGGATTCGCGAACCTGCTTTCTATTCTGCATGCTATTTGTAAAGCATACCTACTTGCAATGCAAGACCTTGGTACGCGTAAGGTATTGTGTCAGGTAAAATAAAAACACCTTCACAATGCACATTCTTATTATCATATGAATTTTGAGAGAAGCGTCCGGAGTGGGAGTGGGAGTCGGAGTCCGAGCCGAAGTCGATTTTTGAAGCCGGAGTCGGAGTCGGAATCACCCGAAAATCCATCGACTCCGCAGCCCTGCTAGCACCAATCACCGCATGTGCAGAGGCCGAGCCGTTATGAAGGAGTAGTTACGAGTCGTAAGTCACGCGGTTGGTTTGCCAGTCGCGGCTGAGCGGACCTAGTGCGTCGCCACTGGTTATTGGTGAGCCGTGAGGTCCTCAGAACTCTCGGCGGCGCGGCGGTGGCCGATACTCGGGAGGACTCCACCGCAGTCGCACGGAGCCGTCACGCGACAGAACGGCGGCACTCGCAATGGACAGAGCGTGCGCCGTGCAGCGTTCAGAGTCCGGTGGAACGGTCGATGGCTAACGAGGGCCGGTGGCCCAGCGAAACTGCATGACAATTACATCACCGACTTCCTCCCTTTATTATATTACATAATTTGCAGATGGCTTATGTAATTCCAGCTCGGCCTTAAAGGGACTGTCCCACCTTTGCATTAGTTCTGAGTTGAGATAGCCAAGTTGGCGGCCAGGTTCAGAAACCACTATATATCCTGGTCGCAATATCCTCAGTTTCGTGGTGTTAAAGAAATTCGTTCCCTTCATTTGAAAAGTGGGTCTTAGCTAAGGCCCTATCTCTTAACTATTAACGGCCATTTGATGACGTCATTACTCATTTGCCTTTTGAACGCCTGTCACACATTCAAGTGAAGTATCACTTGATTTACGAATAAGCCAATCAGAGACACTCTTGTTATTGTATGAGCCGCGTAATATTTGAGAGCAAATATATTTGCTGCCAAATTTCCCCTCACATTGACATGAAGTAAATCCTTCATTACGTCACAGGTTCGATATAAATGACGTCACGATGAAATATGAAAGTCGCAACATCTCAAAAAGTATACGATGAAAACGCGTAAAAACTTGCAGAATTCGTCAAAATTTCATGAGTAACATTTCCGAATCCTAAACGGTACTTTTTGAAGGTGGGATAGTCCCTTTAAAAAGGGAACAGAGCTAACGAGATTCGTGATTGACGTAGCCAGAGTGTCGCAAAAAAAATAGCTCCTGATGTTCGGGTGAGAATGCAGGTAACACGAGGATGCTGATGCTGCCAATATCCATCCCGGTTAAAAAAAAAATAATAACAAAATGATGTTACCAGGGACCAGGGGTCAATGGGGACGCTCACACAGCGATGTTGTCTATGAGCTAGAACAGATAAGCGAACGGGTCTGGGTTAAAGACATCCCGCTTGCAGACTGGTTTGCAGAACATTCTCCGCAGCGCAAATGTCAGAGGTGAAATGCAGCTGAAAATCAATCTCATATAACGGTCTTTTGCAATACTTTTTATTGTGACGCTGCAAAGAAGATTAAGAAAATAAAATGATATTTTGGTAAAATATGTTATATTCACGATCTCATATGGATTCAAACTTTAAATAAAACCCTCACGAACTTAAAACGGTGTTTTGCTGGTGAAAAAATTCGTCATTCCGATGTTCACAATGTAGAGATACGTTCGGCCTGCCCTCCAGATGATGACCTTTTAATATGTAGGTATTGATTTCGATTTGTGCCTAAAATGATCCTTTTATAAATGCAGTACCGGTGGTCTTAAGGCTCAGTCTGGGCAGCAATAAATCAAAAGCGTTGCACATTCGCATGTAGGTACGACTTTTGGATCTCAGATATTCACAGCCTGACTGCTCCTCATCCTTCCATTCCCAAGGGCACTCTTCCCAGTTGTTTTGTAGAGAGATCGACCCATCTGCCTCTCCCCATTCGCCACCTATCCGTCTTTCCAGCAGCCTGGACAGAGAACATGAGTCTGTTTATCAGTCGGATACCTGAGTTTTCTTAGCCGCGTGTCTCTGTCACTTCCACAGGCAGCAGAGAGCAGATCTCCCCGTAAAAACAGCACCTCCAGCCGCATCTGCAGCCACCACAGACGTCGCGGAGAACATCAAAGAAAATCAGAAAGGGGAACAGCAGCAACATGACGCCGGCCTCTCGGGTGGATGACCGCCGCACGCCGCAAGGTGCGGAAAATGAGCTGCCAGTGACCAGGCTGCTTTGATCATCATGCTACGATCATGACGACATCTGCACTGTGTAGGCTCGGCATGCGGTATCAGTAACAGAAAGGCGCAGAAAGCATCGAAAACAATGACCCCCAATACATGACCGAGCAAGTGCGGGGAACAGATTTTCATATTCACTCAGCATTGTAATCCGCTTATGATATGCCTTCACTCTGCTTATGTATCCCCGGTCACTCTACCTAAATCTCGGACTGGTTTGGATCCCAGACATCTGTGGGTTATTGAAGTACCTGCAATATACTGGTAAACAGGATGTGAACATATTGAACACGTCATGCCCACTGCAATAATCGATCAAAGTGCGCTATTTCCAACGTCATTACGTGTTTCCAGCGTGTTTGACCGTTACGAATCCCATACAAGCCAGGGGAAGAACCTCGAGATTCTTCGGGCGATGCTCACTCAAACGAGTAACGACTGTTCACTTGAGTGCTAACTGCTCAGTTTATGGCTAAGCCGGTCATCGCTTAGGGTATACTATTGGCACAGTGGTAAACATGCTATGGAAGCCACTTTACCGGGCGAGGCAGGGGATTACCCTAGAGTGGGGAGGAGGAGGAGGGGGGGGGGGTGACCGTAGGAGTAGCCCCAGCTGACCCGAAGGCAATGACCTCGAGGTCAGGTCGCCGACTGACCTTGCCCGGAGCGCCGCCGAGGCTGCGGATGCGCTCGAACATGCGTTTCACCACCTCCGGCTCGTGACAGAGGTAGTAAGAGTTGTTGGTCGTGTGGAAACCGTATCTGTCGAGAGAAACGGGGAAACAGTCACTGACGGGAAACGGGAGGATACGGGAGCGGCTCGGCTGTGGCGCAGCAATACACTGGAGAACAATTTGACTTTTTATTGCCATCGGCATCAGTTTATAACCCAATAAACAACTTATCAGCCCTCGAACGGCACAATTAAATCTAAATAAGCGTCTCAGCATGGCTCGTTATTCTGCAACATTATCATTCCTCTAATACATCCACTCTAGTATCCTTCCCACTCGAGCTCATTTTATCTGTCCTCCTCAGTCATCTGATCCATGTAAGAAAGCACCGAACAAACGCTACAATAAGTCACCTCTCTGAAGATCAACACCTGAAACGAATCCTAAAGCCAGGTGATCGCGAGTCCCGACAGCCATTACGTTTTAATTGGGCGCTCGATTCACCCATCCCACACCACCTCCGGCACTATTTGACGGTCGTTGCACCCTCCCCCGGCCGTCAGCCTTTCGGCTGTTTGTCTCCGCGTACGATACAATGACAAAGCCCCGAGAAGTCGACTGTACTGTATGATCCGTATTGTTATTCCGCAGCGCGCTATCTAAAACGCATCCACAGCTCACAACTATTTCGCTGACAAATGCGCCATATATTCGTCCGTACCCGGCAACCTTTATTCTCACATGAACCCAGTGCTCACATGTTAATCATGGACGCTGATTGAGATGTTTTCCCTGGCCCCGGAGCATGCAGAGGCCACAGCGTTATCAATTCCTTTCATGTCGGTCAAAGGAAGTTCATAGAAGACATCTAACTGAAAGAATATTTATATCGCGCTAGAAACAAATGCCGTTTAAAGAGAGCACGCTGAATTTCGACGACCGTTTTGCACAATGTGTCATGTATATTACATATAACGCCACTGTTATAAGTCATACAAGTCACTCCCAATGTTTCATGTTATGCAAACGCTCCCTGTCTTCTGTGTCGCTGTATTTTGATGAACGGTGCGCCCAGGGACTAGGGTATAATATAAGCAGTTTACAGGAAACAAATTTGTTACTGAAATGCGAATAAAGTGATCCAGACTTATACGCAATGTTGACGATACGAAAGAGCCGGGGACCTCACAAAGAGAAACCGAAAACCAGAAGCGCAAACAAGGTGAGATGAATCAAGAAGTACGGCCTCTAAGGGAAGAAGTTGTGTGAACTGACCGCCATTCAGGAGGAAAGATGACAGATCTATGTCTCAAATGTCGAAAGATTTCTTTCGTTAAGTGTTTTGATCAGTAGTTTATAGAAATGCTAATGCTACGCCTGCCACAATGAGCACTTTTACACATTGATCAAAAGGAATCGAAGTGACAGAATCACACGAATTTAACGTTGGTAAAGCTGAAAGTGACAGCGTCCGAAGAGCTACCGTTATCTCCTTATACTAATGTCCATGATACGGCCAAGCCTCCAAATGTCTGTCGATAAGCCTCGAACTGACAGAAACACATCCTGCTTCTCTCCGCGTTTACACCGCTGCGACTTATGCTAGACGTCAATCACTTCACTAGGTAATGGACCGACAAATACCATGTCACCGCCGCCTTTGGTTCTTATCCATCTGAATTAAAAATACAGGTAGCAGCTCCTAAACAGCCCGGTGGCGCTGCCACTTCCCGTGTTATCACTTATCACCACGTTACGGCAATAAATCCATCGCTGCCGCTATGTAGTATGTCGGGCTACTCTGTTTTGGATGTAGTTACTATAAATGCATGCATCAGTTTGAGATAAATTACATGCTAACAGTGTAGTGAAAATAACTCGAAGAATTCAATAAACGAAACAAGAATATACCTTAGCGTCATGTAAATAAATGATAAAATTATGGATTCAACCCGACCACAAAAACGTTCACTGGGCTGGTCACGGAATCAGCGGCCCGCTGGCGGTGGTGCCCGCGGGCACACACAGTTTGACCCGAGAGGCCCTGTTGGTGTGACCGTTGCGCTCCCCGCCGGTCAGCGCGGAGCGAGCGGTGTTCCCGCGGTCAGCGGTCAGCGGTCAGCGGTCAGCGCGCTGACCGTCCAGTCCCCACTGACCGACAGTGACAGATAGCCGACAGTTTCAGATACTCCCGCGCCATCTCACCACCAAGCAAATGTTATGCATAATAATCTGCACCGTGTGACCTATCATCTCCTTATTGCGAGATCAGTGTGTGGGCCATTTGTCAGCCAGCTGTCGCGGAGGTGGGGTCGGGGACCTTTCGCCGAGAACGGGTCACAGGTAAGGAGCACAGGCAGATCGGTCAGCTCGAGAGCCGCGGAGAGGAGAGAGGAATGCGGAACGAAACGGTGAGGCCCATCATAAAATCGGGACAGAGGTGAGGCAAGGAATCGAGTCATACAGATGGATATGGGGAGCTGATGTAAGCTTAGACCGGGGCCCCACATAGAATTGTATACATAGGGGAGAGTGGGGCTATCTGTTACAGGGGTAAGTTGTTACGAAGGAAATATCTTTAAAAATACTCTTGATATGGCGCCAATATTTACGCTAGCAGAAAGGTTACGGACATTTTACATGTCACTGCAGGCTCAGACCTGGTGGAACGCCATGTCACCCTTTAGGCGCACTGGGGTAAGTTGTGACAGCAAAAGTATTTTTTGCTGGCCAACACTTCGGGTCGATTTTTGTCAAGGTTATTATTGTAAGAATGTTGAATGTATGTTCACAAAATTAAGCGATGATATCTTTTGTAAGATCACCAAGTAAAAAACACTAGCCTCTTCATGCAAACAAACATTTGAGTTCAGTCTTGTGAAAGTCGGCCGCCGCAGGGCCGGGGCATGTTTAAAGATGGCTACCCAAGACTGCTTATAGCGAGCTCCATTTCACCTGGGCGTAAATTTCGTGCAGAAAATCAAACTCCGGTCAGTATGGCAATGCATGGTGCCCTTGGCGTCGCAGTAAAGGCAAATAAGAGATTGAGCCATGTTTGATGAGCCTTTTCATGCGTATGGGGTACAGTAATGGTTTATGCTTTATTGTTCTTGCCTTACAATAAGAAAGGAAAGCATGTTTAGTGTTATCCATTAGGGAGGCTTACGATCGGTTCCGATAGGACGACCAATGACAGTTATTATGATAAAGAAACTACGAAAAAAGAGGTGTAACATGCTACCCCATATCGTGTATCAAGTTGCCCCACAATTTTTCAACTTACCCCAAAAATCTTGCTTTGGTTTTCTGAATTTCACATTAAAGTGAATAGTCGTAAAGAAGTGAAAGTTTGCATGTGCTTTCCAAATTGATTCAGCTAGCATGTGACCAAATTTGGTGCAATTTCATTGATTAGCTTGGCCACTAAGTGCAGAAAACCAAAAAGTGTAACGCATAGCCCCACTCTCCCCTACAAAAGCGTGTGATGACAATGTGATAACAAAAATCAAATTTCTCTTTGAAGCATCAGTCAGAAAGGTAGCGGCATACATTGCTAAGTGCAGAATGCATATTTCAGCTGAAACACTGTCTCTCTCCCCGTTCCAGCATGGTGTGCAAACAAAACTAGTGAGAACTGTCATTTGCGTCTCTCTGCTATAGATTTGTCACACGGGTGTCTGTCACTGACAGATGTCACACGTGGACGTCCGACTGTCAGGGATGGGTCTGTCACCTATGGCTCCTTTCGTCACAAGCTGCCGGCCACCAGTGCCGTTATTCAAAGTTCCGTTCCGTTAACACAGAGTGGAAAGTAACAACGGCAAGATTACCATTTAATATTGAAAGTTGACTGTCATAAAACGTCCTAAAACGTGCGTGAAAAGTCACTCTTCTGCTTTAGATGACGCTAGACGGCACAACAGCCGCACAGCTCTGATGTACTTCGGTCATACGAGTGAAGCTGGAATCAACAGCTAGCTCACCGTTCCTCCATTGTTGGTACACACGCCACAGCGGTTACCCACCCCACCACCGCGCCGCGCCGGTCACTTCAGGAGCCGCCTCGGGCCACTGCAAACACACCGCGCCTCTGGGTGCCTGCCGCACCGTCATCGGAGGGAACTACCCGGCGCTGACGGCGCTGTTACCGTCGAGGCGTCCACAAAACCCCGCCCCACTCGACAGCGAGTTTTCCCGTGGTGGGGACGGCACCCTGACCTCACAGGTTGTAGTGTCTGTTAATAAACCCCTTCCCACTCGACAGTAAAGACGCTGGCCGGTAGCGGAGGGGAGACGGCACGGAGAGGGCCGCCACATAACCTAGTAAACATTCGCGTGAGTGAGCCGAATTCATCTCTGTAGACTGACCGGCAATAAAGCAAGGCTGGTGATAAAACCCGAGTTACGACTGACAGTACACAACACTCCGCGGGGGATAGGTCAGCAGGCTGACCCACTGCCAGAGTTCAGTGAACTCGATTTAACGTTGTTTTACGTTTTATTTATGTACGTCTCGACCACGCCCGGCTTAGAGAAGCACGCACAGTCACGCATTTCAATTCGGAGCTTATAGCGATTAGAGCAAGTAACTAAGCGTAGCGACCGAAGTTGGACCACAAAGCAATGACAAAATTGTTCACCGTGAATTGAAAGTCTTTCTAAAAAAAAACGAAATAAGAAACATTGAAATGGTATAAAAGCCATTTCAGAAATGAAATATGAATTGTTATTCACTTGCTGTTTCAACGGACGTAAATGACCTTGCGATCGACTGCCGCAAGGTCATTTACGTCATTATAATCGGTCATTTACAAACCTTGACATTGATTACAAGCCTTGACCATGAATGACCATTTAACCGTTGTCCTTGAATGACCTTTTAATCGGTCAATTACAAACCCCGATTAACTACCTGAACAAAATCTCACTTAAAGTCCCGTCCAGTTTTTACGGAGCGAGCGAAGCGAGCGTAGTCTTTCCTTAGATTAACGGAAATTTCTGAGTATGAGCGGCCGGCCGGCCGTGCGGACGCTTTTGCGAGGCTTATATCTCAGCAACCACTCGACCGATTTACATGCGGTAATTTTT